AAATTTAATTAGTTCGCTTAGTACCGAGAATAAGTCTATTTTCTTATTTCTACGCAATAGAAATGTAACTAGTTTTGTGGTGGAACCTCCTGTTCTCACCAGTAAAAGGACACAGCGCGTATCTTTCTCACGCGTGCTCGGTTCCGCCTGCACTCGTATATAAGCCATTCCCGATCGCCCTTCAATCATCCTGGCGTCTACAGGACTTACTGACAAGTCCACTCTATCAGGTCCAGGACGAATCGCTCCCTTTCTTTCCTCCCCTCTCTCGTTCTCCCCTCCAGCAGTACCCCCACCGCAGTTTAATTCATAATCACTTATTAATAATCTATTTAGAGTCTAGAATGTTACAAAAAGTACACTATGTAGGTTATGCTTCGAGATAGTCGTTATAATTAAATTCTACGTACGATAATAACGTTGTTTAGTCCGACGCAACTTTAGCTACGTCGTGTTTACACAACGACGACAACTTATCATTTGTCAATACAGTCTTTGTAGCATCGATTCAGCAGAGATCGAAGTGGCGTTTTTTAGTGGGTTACCCTTCTCTATACAAGGTGATCCACTCGTCGCATTCGCCTTAAACGTCACCGTGGTTTTCGGTATTAAAAAGAAGCGCCGAGGAACGATCGCGTTGAAACGACTCTGAATTTTATAATGCTCGACGGTTCGAGGCCATTTTCGCGCTTTTTACCACGGATTATAGGACTTATGCTCGCATTATGTTCTCGTCAATATCGAGATGAATGGAATAACCTGTTGCGAGCACGTCGACCTTCGCGTGAAACGTGTTAACTTTTTCGATATTGGTCCACTTTAAATATTCACTCCGAAAACAGTACGGTACGAATCCTGCTACATGTTTAATAAATATATTTTATTGACGCACGTTTTCAGTTGCGCCCAAATAAACTGATATATTATTTCGATTAACAGGCTACAAGGGTATAATCTGCTCTACAGTTCGTACTTGGTTTACTCGTACCGAAATAAAATAGAAAAATGATTATCGCCACGCGTGTGTGACGTTGATCTGTCTGGGAAACATGTGACGCGTGGCAGCAAGAGCATTTAAAAATTTCTTATCGATAATATGCTAAGTGGATCGTTCCTTGACTAGAAACGCCCCCAAATTGTGTGAAATGTAATATAATGCACGATTAAATATTCGGGTTAGGTCTGGGTTAGGTATATTTGCAATTAGGAGGGAGGAAGAACAATACAATTCATCAATAAAATTGATTCTCCGTTAAAATATAGTTTAACGTGGAATTAAATATTCAGGTTAGATCTGGGTTAGGTATATTTGCAATTAGGAGGGAGGAAGAACAATACAATTCATCAATAAAATTGATTCTCCGTTAAAATATAGTTTAACGTGGAATTAAATATTCAGCTTAGGTCTGGGTTAGGTATATTTGCAATTAGGAGGGAGGAAGAACAAAAAAAATTCATCAATAAAATTGATTCTCCGTTAAAATATAGTTTAACGTGGAATTAAATATTCAGGTTAGGTCTGGGTTAGGTGTCCTTGCAATCAGGAGGGAGAAGATTGATTCCCCATTAAAATAGTCGTCCTCGAAAATTGCAGTAAAATCTCCGTTAACGATAGAACGATTTTAACAAATTTGAAGTACACGAGTCGCGTTTATCAGGTTAGCGTGTATTCGAAATATTCCAAATCGTTTCGTTTTCCCTACTTAACATGTCCAACCGCGTTGCTTTCTCGAGGAACAATGGAGATATTGGAAACGATCGCGATAAGCCCCGATCCCCGGTACGTGTCGCGAAATTTCAGGAACGGAAAAAGGAGGTCAGTTCTCGGCATCAATTGGTTCGATTTGTTTCTCCCCCTCGCGGTGCTCTGTTACATTTACGTCGATCTTCGGGCGCCGGGAGAAACCTTCGCTTTTTCCATTAAGCGTGTATCTGCGTTACGCGCAAACGGAAATGCACTTTCACCGAAAACGGAGCGAGCGCACGCCTTGCTAGCACGGCTCGACGCTTCGAGCCGAACGAAACCGTGCACCAGGGCTCTGGTTTATCGGAACGAAATTGTCGTTAATAATTTAGCGAACTTCTAAATCGTCGTTTCGCTCGACGTGTTTTTTTTTTTTTTTCCATTACTCGAGAGGTATAGACTTCAAGAATGTTTAGGAAATGTTGTTATAATTTTAATTTTAAAGGAGCTCAAAGTGTGGATAATTCCACTTATCTGAACTCTGGTCATTTGAACGAATAGATGAAAGAAACGTGGACCTAAGGCAGAGCTAACTTCTATTGCAAGCAGAGCTATTGTAAATGAAACTTGTACATAGAAATTGTCTTCCACAGGGTTGATATAAGTAGACTTTCACCTGACCCCATACCTGAGTCCTTATTATACGAAACCACCTTACATGAACACTTTGTCTTCCATTGGATCGATATAAATGGAGTTCGTCTGTCGATTCGCGACGAGAAGGTTTCTCTGGAATAAAGTCGGATAACCGAGACACAAGCCTCGTATTTGGGTTATCATCGTCGCGTCGAGGCTTTCTAGCTTTCTATGCTTATGCCAAGGATGTCCACATTACGAAGGATACTCCACGCACGTTTAACCTCGCATTAGGCCGCCCATTATGTGCCAGTCGACGAGAACCCGAGCCACTTGCCTGTTCCCCGTACACACTACAGTTTTTTCACGACGTTCTCGACGTATGGTCGATCCACTCACGCAGACAGTTTCGTGAGGCATTCTCGGTGAACGTTCCTTCGTCTGGCAGTAACGGTTCTAATCACTTTCGTGATCTGCCGCATGTACCGAACTCGCAAATAGTTTTTAGGGGCCGGTGCCTAGTTTGGGACGGTCTGCAGGGATTTGTATGCGCGTTGCGTCGAACGACGTGGGCACAAATGCGTAGAGATGGACAAAGTGTACAAACACGTCTTGTATCGTGGATTTAGAGATTATTCGTTAATTTTTCGCGTGACATCAGTTCGTTTATGTACATACAATTAAATGGATCTTTTTCTTGTCAACGCTTATGATAATTTCTTTTTGATACAACGAATTTGTACGAATTTATTTACTTTGTTTTCATTCGCAAGCATAACGTGAAATATCACTGTATCGTAACGTGGTTCCACAACAGATCTTTTTTAAAAAGAACTTTCGAAAAGAATAATTCGAGTGGCGGGTAAGAAATATTCAGGCTGGATTTTTGAATTTTGGCGATGCCCCTTTCAGCATTGAAATGTTTGCCTGCGTCGACAAATACGCGCGATACCAAAGATAACGATTGCTCTTAATTAGCCAGCGACACAGATTGACGATTTTTTCCCCGCTTTGAATCGCGCTGCGCTCCGTATTAAGTTATCTTTATGCAAAACGATCTGTTATCGCCGGCGGTTTACGAGCGTCGGCGCAGATAGCCTTAATTAAATCGAGTAGCTGAAAAATGAGGCGAATTCGTCCAGTCGAGGATTGAAGACACCGAACGATACGAGATAACCGTATCGATCTGTACGCGTCTGGTCTTTAAACACGGACCAATTTTTATTTCATGTTTAAATTCGCGTGTTTTGATACTTGACATTTTTTTTTTTTTTTTTTTTTTTTTTAAATAAAAATTCTAACGCTTGATTCGATGTTTAAACATGTATCGTTTCGACCTGACACGTTCGTTTTCTACGTTTCGCTGCGTATAAAAACGGAAGTAACGCGTTATAGTCTTCTGCAAAGACTTTAAGTTCATTTCCATGGAAATCGCCGAGTGGAAGGGCGCACCGAGTCGTGCAAAGCATTTTTCTCCAAAGATTTTCTTGTTTCCACGATAATTGCATCGAGGTATGCGGTGACGCGCGGGTGATTACGTGTAACGCGCATTCCAATTTGTACAGCAAACGTTTCGATCTGAAATTGCATCGGGGATCTTTTCTTTCAGTCGAGGTCAACGTGATCCAATCGCTTGTTCCGCGTGTGTTTCCCTCTTATTGCACGTTGAACCAACGATTAACCATTCGGCGAGGCATTCTATAGTCCGAGTTAAGAAAGAACCGACATTAGACCTCCCATCACTTATAGCGATTCGAGAAATCGTTCGGTACAGAATTATTCGTTATTCTTGTATAGTCTACGTTTGAGAATGGAATGTGAGAATCGATGCGCGTTCGACCGCCGAACGCAGGACAAAGGGCCCTGAACACGAACAAGCGTCGATCAACGGTAGGAAACCAAGTTGGAACTGGCGACTACGGGAATTGCGTGGAACGTTGTGTAGGAACGTCCGGTGTGTGAACCACGCGTTACTTTTTTTTTTATAAATTTACGTTAAGCGTATCTTACGTTTGCGTACTTGTGAAGCAGATTTTATATACATTTTTTATCGGGAGAGTGAGACTACTACGCTCGAATAATTGAATTTTCTTGGAACTGCTACAATTGAAATTCGACGTTTTCTTCGAACACAGTCGTATCATATCATTCGTCGTTTTGTATCATTCAGAATAATTCGTCTTCATTTTTAATCCCCATTTCTCTCTGAACAACGTTTTACGTGTGTTTCTATTTTATCCTAATTTTGTCCTGTTGAAAGCCTACGTTTCGTGGGTCGGTTATTATAAACCCTGCTTTGAGAAACGAGTACGTGGCCCCGCTGGTCTAACAGTTTTAAAAATACGTATTCGTAGAACGTGCCGAGGAGAACCTTGACGCTCCTCCGCGCTGCTTGTTGCGGCCGGGACAAAGAAGAAGATCGAAAGCGCCCTAACCCTGGTCCGTTGGGTATGGAACGAGACGGAAAAGAAAGTTTCCATTACGGCAGGAAGGGCTCGAAAGATCGCCAGTAAGCTTCGAGGACCCCCGTTGCACACTTTCCTTTCCGTCCCACACAGCCAGGTAGAGGCAACTTTCTTCGATCGGAAACCCAGACAAAAACTTCACGCAACGAACAAGCGGGACTTGGCAAATAAACAGAAATCTCTGTAAATTTTCGGCCGT